CTCTCCCACTTTTTTATTTTAAAAACATTTTATGTGCATGAGTGTATTGTCTACATGTATGGATGTAGGTGCACCTGAGTCATGCAATGCCTGAGGAAGTCAAAAGGGGGCATCAGATCCCCTGGAACTGGAGTTAGAAACTGTTGTTAACCATCATGTGGGTACTGGGAATTGCATCTAGATCCTCTGCAGGAGCAGCCAGTGCTCTTAACCACTGAGATATCTCTCTAGCCCCTTTCACTTTAAAAAAAAAAAAAAATTCTACTTATTTATTTATTTATTATTTATTTATTTTTGGGCTTTTTGAGACAGGGTCTCCCTGTAGCCCCAGCTGTCCTATATAGACCAGGCTGGCCTTGAACTCACAGAGATCCACCTGCCTCTGCCTCCCGAGTGCTGGGATTAAAGGCGTGCACCACCATGCCCGGCCTAGTTTTATTTTTATGTGTCTGAATATAATATCTGCATGTAGGTTGGTGCACCGGTGTCATGCAGTGCCCACGGAGGTCGGAACAGGGCATCAGATTCCCTGGAACTGGAGTTATGGCTGGTTGTCAGCAGCCATGTGGGTATCGAATCTGGGTCCTCTGCAAGAGCAGGCAGTGTTCTTAACCACTGAGCCATCTCTCCAGCCCATCTCTCTCACTTTTGGGGTGGGGATGCAGAAGATGGGGCTCTCACTGTGTAGCCCAAATTGGCCTCAAACGCACAACCCTTCTGCCTCCACTTCCCAAGTGTTGAGATTACAGGAGTGCATCACCACACTCACAGAAATACATTATTTATGAGAAGTGACTCTGCATGACAGAAAAGGAAATTTCTACCGTTAAGAAAGTAAGAGTAGGGGCTGGAGAGATGACTCGGTGGTTGAAAGAGTACTTGCTGCTCTTGTCGAGGTCCCGAATTCAGTTCCCAGCACCCACATTGGGCAGCTCACAACCACCTGTAATTCCAGCTTGAAGGGAATCCAGCATCCTCTTTTTGTCTCCTTGGGCACCCACACACATGTGGCACACATACACATGAAGAAAAATAAAATAAATCTTTTTTAAGAAGAAAACTAGATATTGGAGCAAAGGCTACAGGTTTCCCACTTCACGTGGCTGAGGCAAAAATTCCATCTTCCCTGGTATTTCCTCTTCGCTTCATCTTGCTTCTTTTTTGCGCCAATTCCCCAAGGGACAAACCTGTGGGGCAGCAGCTGACAAGGGAAGGTCGACTCCAGGATGAATGAGCAAACCACAACGAAGCCAAACTCCGGAGGTCGGGATTAGAAATTAAAGACCCCAGACAGAAGACAGTGAAGCAGGGGCTGGAGAGATGACTCAGCAGTTAAGAGCTCAAGCTGCTCTTGAAGAGGATCTGGGTTCAATTCCCAGCACCTACACAGTGGTTAACAACCATCTGTAACTCCAGTTCCAGGGGAACTGTTGCCCTCTTATGACCTCCGCAGGCACTGATGACACAAGTACATTTACATCCATGTAGGCAGTACATTCATTCACATAAAATAATAAAAAATAAATAAAACCAGGCATGGTGGCACATACCTTTAATCCCAGCACTTGGGAGGCAGAGGCAGGCGGATCTCTGTGAGATCGAGGCCAGCCTGGTCTACATAGTGAGTTCCAGGTCAGCTGGGGCTACAGGGAGACCCTGTCTCAAAAACACCAAAAATAAATAAAAATTAATAAATAAAATACTTTTTTTAAAAAGAAGACAGTGAAGCCCAAGTGGGGTCAGGAGTTTCTGGGCAAAAGACCAAAATGTCTGCAGGGTGGGACATTGATTCCATGCTGACTCCATTTTCCATGCCTTTGCATGCAGTCTCTTCCACCTGAGGTGCCCTTCCACTTCTCCATAGGGTCAGCTCTCAGTCATCCTTCAGGGCTCAGTCACCTCCTCCAAGACCTCTGATGTCTGCAAGGGAGCTCTCACACGTCTCTGAAAGGAAGGGCTGCAAATGGAAAGCCTCACAGCAGGTTCTTGGAGGTGGGGTTGGTTCTGGAGAGTTGGGTGCCAACTCGAATAGGGAACAGGCTCAGCTGTTCATGAAAGAAGCACCGACTACCAACAGAGCCACCAAGGATAGCCTAAGTCCCTGGCCACCAGACTCCCATGCAGCAGGAAGGGGCTGGGTCTCCCATGCTCCCATTTCCAGTGAGGAAAATGATGCTGCCTAAGGCATGAGGCCACAGGCCACAAAGAGGAAGTCCATCTGGGCGGCCCAGCAGGCAGAGTAATTCCTGGAAGGAAGCTCACACCTAAGGAATCTGGTAGTGGAGCGCTGTTGACTGTCTGTCCCAGGAATTGCTTAACACCAGTACACAGAACCTGAAAGCAGCAAGGATGGACCACCAGCAGAGCAGCCTGTCTTCTGAACTAGGAGGGGCAGCACCATCACCAGCCCCCCTGTCCTGTGGCTCAGGCAAAAGAAGGGCTCAGAGAGAGGCAGCCTGTAGGGTCTGCACCTGGCTGACTCATTGTTTCTCACAGCTTCGTGGTCTATACAGTGAAATGAAAAGACTATTGTCATGCATGTGGGGAGGGCAACTGGAGTGCCCAGGTACCAGCTCACCATGAGGTCCAGTGGGCAGGTTCCACTGGTAAAAGAAGCCTTCCTTGCCGTGTGTGTGTGTGTGTGTGTGTGTGTGTGTGTGTGTGTGTGTGTCTTGAGCTCGGGTATGCATTCTCTAGTCTTTGGGACAGAGCTAGCTAGCAGCCAGGTTTGGGCAGGTGGGTGAGGCATAACTGCCAAGTTCTCTTTACAGACCCTTAGCACACACAGGCTTATGTAGCAGGATGGCATGTTGTAAATATTAACTTCACCTTCTGCTCAACCGCTACCCTCTGCTCTGCCATGTCATGGGAACCAGGAGAAGGGAGCTCTGCTTCTGCCTTCCAAACCCAAAGATTCTTCTTGAAGCCCATCTGGTGCCTGGGGCAGAGATTCTGAGCAGACAGCACCCACAATAATGTATAAGGGCCGGATTTCTTCAGGCCTGAAAGTGGGGTGAATGCTAGTAAGCAGGTCAGAACCAAGGCTAGCCTAGGTGGAGCAAAGGTTTGAAAGCTCAGAAGGTAGGCTGAGCCTGAATGGCAGGAGAGGGGTTTGGAGACTGGGATGGTAAGGGGAATTCAGGACATAAGCCAAGGGCAATTCATGCCTTGGATTATTCCAGTTTCCTATGGGTTTGGCAGCGCCACAGAGAGTGCTAGACTGATGAAATGATGAGCCCGATTTGCATGTTTGATAATCCCCCAGATATATTCTGGAGATGGAAGGGAGGGGCAGAGGTGGGAAAAAGAGTATCTCCAGGTGGGAGAGTTTGGGAGAGGGATGGTAGGAGACTCCAAGAAGAGGCCCAGAGAAGGGAGAGGCTGCACTTGGAGAGGACACAGTCAGAGGCCTACCCAAGGGGAAGCAGGAAGCCCCTAGGTCAGTGGGTGGGCCCATGACAGCACAGAGGAGAACAAGGGGGGAGACAGGAGAGGCCACCTAGGTGAAGGATAGGGGCTCTGCAGGACCCTTGTCCATGCCCACTGGGTTCCAAACTTCCTATGGCGGCTAAATCAAACTTCTGCTAACATGGATCAAGGAGGCACTGGATCACTTGCTGTCCTCTCTGTAGACTGGAAGCTGCCCAAGGGTGGGGACTCTGACATCAGACTCATGAGACCTGAAGCAAATATGGAGGGGCAGTTGCAAGTAGAGGGGTGCCCTCAGGTCATCACTTGTGCTGGGGGGGGGGGACAGCTGAGACATGATAGGACTGGGGCCAGAATGGGGGAAAATGGATGAGTTGGGGGTGGGGGAGATAAACAAGAAGCAGGCATGTGTGAGGGTTGGACCCTTTAGTCCTCCCTTGGCTTGTTTCAGCCTTGAATGAGATTCAAGCTTGCCGGCCCAGGCCTGGTCAAAGAATCTTGTCTCACACACCCTAACAAAAATACACACAGGCACAAACTAGTGAGCAAGGCAGACCACTGACTGGATACCTTGCTGGTACCCCCCAACCCTTTCCTCCTTAGGAAGGTCCCCTGAGACAGTGGATCTTACCATAAGGCCAACAAACCTAGGGAAAGGTAGCATTTTATCTGGGCAAAGTAGGGGAGGCAAAGCAGTACAGGAGGAAAACCGGCCTTGCTAAGATGCCGGGCGGCAGGACGCAAACAAGGTTCCTCATTTTGTTTGTTGGAGTCAGGCAAGGAGTCACAACGAGACGCGATCTAGAAGCAGCTAGAGCTTTGTAGGGCACATGGAGCAGAGGCAAAGGGACCTAGACCCTGCCAGGTCCCAGGGATGCCGCTTAGGGCAACTCAGCTGCTGAGGAAGTTTCACAGCAGACCCGCCGGGCAGTCAGGTCTCCCTCAGCAAGTTTCCTGACCTGGAGGCCATGTCCTGACATCCCCAAGGGAGCCTGGGTTGAGACCAGAAGACTATGAGCCCCATTTGGAAAGTTGAGGGCTTTTCACCTTTAAGGCAGGATGGGTGGTCCTGCCAGGCCTGGGGTGCCATCCTGGAGGCCCAGGGTTTGCCTTCAGCCTTGATTCCATCTGACTATTGGGGACCTGGCTAGAGAAAGTGTAGAGAAACGCGTGGGCAGAAGTGGTTCCACATGAAGAAACTGGAGGGGTCTGGTCCAAGGTCTCCCTCAGCCCGCAGGGTATAGGCTCTGGGACTTAGCATTTACTGCCCAGAGCCTAGCCCCAAGGTGGGCTGCTGGGGAGGCGGGGACCGCAGGAGGCCCTCGAGGGTCTGGGATTACTCCTCCCGCCTCCTCCCCAGTTGCCTTCTCCCATCCCATCCCCCGCCCCCGGGCTACCCTCGTAGTCGGGAGGGCGGGCCAGGCTGGCGATCAGGCGCAGGGAGGGGTCCAGAACGCGGCCGGCCTGATCCCCTCCGCGGAGCCCCGTGCAGGCAGGCCCCGCCCAGACCGCACATCTGGGCGGCGAATGCAGCCATCCGGCCTGGGAGAGGGGGTGGCGCGCGGGGCTTGGCGCAAGCCAGAGCTGCGGGCAGCAGCGGCCTTGGCGCACGTCGAGGGCTCTGGCTGGCATTGTTGCCAGCTGTGAGCTAGCATCCAGGAGGCCGAGCGGGCGGTGCTGTCCGAAGGGCGGAGGTGAGTTGGGGCAGGGGCTCCTGGGCTCCCAAGGGGAGCGGAGGGAACGCAGAGATTGGTACCAGGCTGTTGGCTGAGAGCCCACAAAGGACTCCCAGGCGGGTGGGAGTAGATCTGCGAGCTCCTTGAGGCCGCGGGGCTGCGGGCGGGCAGAGGCAACTGCCGCAAACCACCGACTCCTACCTACCAGGGGCTGTGGGACCTCACCAAAGGCTTCGTCTGGAGCCCTGTGCCTGGGAGCTGGCAGGACTGCTGTGGACTGGGGCCTCCAGAAAACCGGTTTTGGGGATTTGCTGTCTAGGCCAGAGGTGAGATTAGACACTGAATGTGTGTGTTGGGGGGGGGGGCTGTGGTCTGAGGATATGAGAGTGACTGGGTGGCTAGAATGGGGACCTCAGGTTTCTTTCAATGAGACCAGTGTGGGGACCCAGGTTGGGTGGGGTCTGGGCTCTCATATGGGTGGAGGAGCTGTCTGTAGGGTAAGCCTGTGGGGGGTGGGGGTGGGAGAGGGCAGGGAGGGAACTCTTATCCAGACTGCTGTTGAGCAGATGGATCTAGGAGCCATGGAAGGTGAAGAACTTTAAGGGAGAGAGTAGGCAGGGAAGGGAGAGCTTTAGCCTCTGTGGGATTGAGGTTGTTTGTGAACTGGCTGTTCCCATGAAGAGCACCCAGAGGGGTGGGACATGTGTGGAAAGCAAAGCTGAGGGCAGAGTGGGGCCACCAGAGGCCACTTCCATCACTCTTGGCCCAGCACAGGAGGGAGTAGCCTCCTCACTCCACAGCCTTCTCCTAGTCCCCTCTCCATGGGATCATCTCCCCCAGAAACAGGTTGGAGATGTCTTTGGGTACCGTTTTTTATCTGACCCGTGGACCTTGGCTGGTTGGCCCAGACTGGGACTTGGAAGAAATGCCTGTGGCATCACTTATCCTGCTGACAGTCCTGTTCCAATAAAGGACTGGACTGGCAGGGTGCTAAGCAGGCAGCACTGGTTAGGAGAGGCAGGGTCCCAGGGAAGATGGGATCTGTTAATATCTGAGTGTACTCGTTCTTATGGGAGTCATATAGAATCCCAAAAGCCAGCCATATCACACATCTGCAGGGCTCTGAAGAGTATAGGTGTCCAGCCTAAACACCCCACCCCAGGAAAAGGTCCTTGGAGAGTTCTGTCCACCAAGCAAAAAAATCCTGGGCTATTGTGAGACCCTGGGAAGTCCTCACTTGGCTACACCCTGTCCTAGTCTCCAGTGACTGACAGTCCATACTTATTAGATGGCAGTCAGGGCCATAGATAAGGTGAATTGGAAGATCAGAGGTCAAGAGTTGGCAGTCAGTCCGTAGGCCGAGTTAAAGGTCTATCTACAAGTAGAGTGGTGGTCAGGTTGGGACCTGGATTTAGTATGCATTTGCCACTAGGAAATGGAGTTACTTCCTGTGTAACCCAAACTGTCCCATCCCATTTCTCTCATAGACATCACCAGCCTGGAATTAGAAGTTCCCAGGGAGTGGGTGGATTCTACCCAGACCAAGCCAGGTCCTAAGCCCCATGATCAGCATTCTCCTTGAATATTTTCTTTAATTCATATACATTAAATGTATATGAGACCTTTGGGAAAGTCTCAAAGACATACGGAGCATGTGTGTATCCTTGCACAGCTGCTTTCCCCTTTACCTCCACTCCCAGGAATCTGTGGAGACCCCCTTGTCACAATTTGATTTGGTTCCTACCTCCTTCTCAAAGAACTTGGAATCAGTATAATGAATTCTCAGTAAGACCCAAAACTAACAAGTGAAATCCACATAGTGAAGGAAAGAGCATCACCTACATATGCCCAGCACCCTGCCTTTACGAAGACCTTCCATAAGAATGTGGTCCTCACAACCCCAGTGTCACCCATTGTATAGTGAAGGGCACTGAAGTACAGAGAGGTGACACACATCAGATGCCATAATAGGCCTTGGCACCCTGAGACCCCAGTGTATCTTGCATTCAGGAGACAAAGAGCTTCAGGGAGTTGGGGAAGTATAGGTGTCTACTTGTGACATGGAATTCAGCCTTATAGTGACAACTCCATCTTTTTTTCTTGGCAGTTCTAGGCTGTTTTTCCTCCAGGTCTAATAGACTTGGCCCAGAAAATCCATTCATTCAACAAAGTGGTTCTCAGCACTTAGCCCAGAGCCTGTTACAAAGAATGTCTAATATATATTGCTGAAGAGTTGTGGCTTGGATCCAGTGGCATGTTGGTAAAAACAATTGACTCTCTGAGAGGAAGAAAAGCCTGATTTGTAATCTTTGCCAATTTCTGTGGTATAAATACACTTAGCCATAGCTGCTCACAAGCTAAGTGCACTGTGTCAGTGGATGTAGAATTAGGAAAGGGGCTGGGTATGGTGGTGCATGCCTTTAATCACTGCACTTAGGAGGCAGAGACAGGCAGATCTCTGTGAATTCAAGACCACCCTGGTCTATATAGTGAGTTCCAGGCCAACTGGGGCTACAGGGAGACCCTGTCTCAAAAAAAAGACCAAAGGAAAAAAGAATTAAGAAAGGAGACATTGTCAGTTCTGGAGAGCTTTGGTATCAAGCTCTAGCATACTGCTCTTCCTCTCAGCTGCGCTTTTGTCCCTGACTCCTGAGGTTCTTACAGACCCTCACCGTTTGCTTTGACTTTCTCAGCATCATCCCATAGCTACAGCCAGCCCCTATCCTTCCCCTGATTCTGATCTCTGGGGCAGCCACCTGTGTCCCTCTACTGATACAGGGGGAAGCAAGTCTGCATGTGTCTGGGAATCTCCGTGGTGCTGGCCACACAAGAGTACCTGGACATACATGAGTATATGAGAATGTGACTATCCATGATGGGCCTGGGTATGTTCGGACAGCATGTGAGCAAGGGAGTGTACTTTTTGTGTTGGGTGTGCCGCTGCCCAGCTCTGTGTCTATTAGCAAAACTTCCTGATCAGGCTACAAAGAGGTACAACCTCTACCTTTGTTTAAAGGAGCCGCCAGGCCCATAGATAAAGACAATAGCAATTCATGTTCTGCAGACTGCTGAGCAGCTTGAACATGGCTCAGCCTTTAAGGGGAATCTGAATTACCTCCTTAAAATGCGAGTTCTGCTTCAGCAGGTCAAGGATGGGGCCTGAGGTTTGCATTTGTACAAATTCCTGAGTAACGCAGTGATACCAGCACTGCTGGGCCTGAGGCCACACTTTGAATATTAAAACTTAATGATTTGGAGGAGTTTGCTTAAAGCCTGGACCCCAGGACCTCACAGGTACACACTTAAATACCTCCTATCTTAGGAACCAAAATAAATAACCTTGGGCTGAATAAATAACCTTGGGCTCATTAAATAACCTTGGACTGGCAGGTAAAAGCACTTGCCATGCTAGCCTGACAACTTGAATTTGATCCCTGGAACCCACATAAAGATGAAAGGAAAGAACCTACTCCCCAAAATTGTCTTCTGACCTCCAGAAGACATACATGCACCCACATTCATATACATACACATGAAAAAAAATTTTAATTTATTTGAAAATAAATATAATGGGGCTGGAGAGATAGCTCAGCAGTTAAGACCATTGGCTACTCTTGCGGAGGACCCAGGTTTGTTTTCCAGAGTCCACACGGCAGCTAACAACTGTCTGTAGCTCCAGCTCCAATGGGTCTAATGCCCTCTTCTCACTTCTGCAGGTATTGCAGGACACAGGTGCACTTACATCCACACACGTAAAGTAAAACACATTCACACATATAAAGTGAAAATAATAAATAAAATATTTAAAAAAATAAAAATAGCCACGCATGGTGGCACACACCTTTAATCCCAGCACTCGGGAGGCAGAGGCAGGTGGATCTCTGTGAGTTCGAGGCCAGCCTGGTCTACTCCACTGTGAGGCCCAGGCCAGGTGGTGCTACAGGGAGATCCTGTCTCAAAAAGACAGAGGAGAGAGAGAGAGAGAGAGAGAGAGAGAGAAAGAGAAAATAATCTCCCTCCAGGTACTGTCCTCATACCCGTTCTTCTCAGCCAAGCCGCCTGTTCTCTCATCTCTTGCTCAGTCTTACTTGAGCTTATCTGCCTTGGGCCGCTAGGACAAGTGTTTGTCATGTTGTCTAAGGACTTCTTAAAAGCATCTAGCTTCACCCACTTCTCTTGCTGTTTTTCATGGAACCAAAGGAGGGTCCCTGGCCAGCCCACTGCTGCCTGGCCAGCCTTTAAGTGTCGTTTCTCCTCCCTTCCTTCCTGTCCTTGCTCCTGCCAAGCCTTCCATGACAACGACCCTCTAATGTGCAGTTCCTACTCCGATTTCTCCCTGATCTCCAGGTTTGATATCTGACTACTAGATATGTCCCCTTAGTTTAAAACTGTACCCAAACTCTGCCCCGTCCTGCTGCCAGGCTGCCCTATCTGCAGTTTTCCACCTCACCACCTCCTAGTTTTAGGCAGATATCACCTTCATGTCTTCTCCCTAACACAGAATGGGTCTGATCAGCTCTGTGGATTTTAACTACTGTGTCTGCAGTGTCTGCACTCGTGTCTCAAGGCTCATAGCCCACCATCATCTATAGTCTGGAGAGCCATAACAGTCTAGCCGAGTTCCCGCATCCATGTTTCCCTGTAGCAACCCATTCTCTCATGCAGCCTTAGACAACATCTCAAAGAACAAACCAAATTGAGCTCCACCTCTACTCTACTTCAAACTCTTTAAGATTTTCTGTTGCCCTTCATATAAAATCAGATCTAAAGGCCCAGCCCAGACCTTCTCTTTCACACTGCTGTCACCTTCACACATGCCCTTAGTATTGTTTGCATTCTCAAAATTACTTTCATGATTGTCTAAATATGATCATCTTCCTGACCAGGCTGAGTCCCCAAGACAGGGACAGATCACAGCTTCTTAACCCATAGGAAATGACCCCATATGAGTTCATGTGATTGAATAGGTAGGCCTCAAAAAATTGGCAACAATAAGTTTTCTGAATGTGCAACAATCAAACTTACTAGTAATTCAAATGCTTAATGAATCTGAAATGCCAACGAAAGCCTGAAGCAAAAAGCTGCCTGAAATATCTCAGGTTAGACTCCAGACTGATGCATGCTATGAACTACAGTGTTTACTGTATGTACACAAAATTGTGCGACTCTTATATGAAATCTTAATAAACTGGTTTGATTACAGAACACAGACTTTTAACATTTTACCATCATTCCTTTTTCATGTAAGTATCTTTGCATTGCATTGTGTTTGAGTGTTTTTAAATAATATTTTATTTTTTTATGTGTATGAATGCATGCATTTAAGTATACCCATGTTGGGCAGTGCCCGAGGAGGTCAGAAGAGGGCACCCAGATCCCCTGGAACTGGAGTGAAGGACAGTTGTTAGCTGCCATGGGGGTGCTGGGACCTGAACCCCAGTCCTCTGCAAGAGCAGCTGGTGCTCTTGACAGCTGAGCCATCTCTCCAGCCCCCTAGAGTATTGTTTTTTAAGAATGTTTGATTTTAAAGATTGCTGTTTGAGTTACCGACTTGAGTTTCATTTTAAAAAAATAGCTGAGCCGAGCATGGCACAAAATGTACAGAAGTATGTTTAGGATCATTTCAGAAACTGTTGGAAATTCTGTCCCAATCTCAAGTCAAAATTCATTTTTGTTTCTTGGTTTTTTTGTTTTTGTTTTGTTTTTAAGACACAGTTTCCCTGTAGCCCCAGCTGGCCAGATCCATCTACCTCTGCCTCCTGGGTGATGGAATTAAAGGCATGTGCCACCAGGCCCTTCGAAAAGTGGATTCTGATAGGGAATTTATGTCAGTCATAAAGCATCAAAGGCACTTCAGGGAAAGGGATTTGGAGGCACACAGATGAAAGTATAGCTCAGACTAGCTCAGACTAATACATGCTCAGACAACTTTTGTGTAGGCAGAATATTTAAGGTAATTGGAAAAGACTGATAATAAGAGATAAGCAGAACCTGTACTTTGATGTTCCATTTACTCATGCTGTGTGATTTTTTGGGGGGGTGGGGTGGGTCGGTGGGGAGACATGAACAAATGTTTATTCACTCCAAAAGAGAACTGATATTAGATCCAAGTCTAGCTTAATGTTGCAATGAGTCTATTAGCAATACTCACAGGAGCATGGATGGCTGAAAGGAAGCTGCATCACTGCAAAACTCACCCTAGCATGGGTGATAACTCACAAAAGCTGCATCCCTGGAGCTCCCTGAATAATGTGCAAATAGCCCGGCAGGTGAAGAGCTTCCTCAGTGTGGGAATTGTTAATGCCTGTATATGGTGGTTTTGAAGGAGAATGTCCCCCATAGGCTCCAAGTATTTGGGCATTTTGTCCCTAGTCAGAGGCTCTGTTCTGGGAGGTCTTAGAAGGTTTGGCCATGTTGGAGGAAGCATGTCACTGTGGGTGGGCTTAGAGAGTTCTTAAGCCTTGAGTGATCTCCAGTTACTCTCTTGTTTCCTGTGCCTGCTTGAAGATATGAACGCTTAGATATGAACGCTTAGCTCTGCTCTTTCTCCAGCTACCTCTGCTACCATGCCTCCCCACCCTGATGGATTCTTGCCCCTTGGATCCGTAAGCTCAAATAAATTCTTCCTTCTATAAGTTGCTTTCATCAGTGTTTCTATCACAGCAACAAAAAGTAACTACCCCCTAGAGTATTGTTTTTTAAGAATGTTTGATTTTAAAGATTGCTGTTTGAGTTACCGACTTGAGTTTCATTTTAAAAAAATAGCTGAGCCGAGCATGGCACAAAATGTACAGAAGTATGTTTAGGATCATTTCAGAAACTGTTGGAAATTCTGTCCCAATCTCAAGTCAAAATTCATTTTTGTTTCTTGGTTTTTTTGTTTTTGTTTTGTTTTTAAGACACAGTTTCCCTGTAGCCCCAGCTGGCCAGATCCATCTACCTCTGCCTCCTGGGTGATGGAATTAAAGGCATGTGCCACCAGGCCCAGCGATTAGTTTTTGTTTTTGAGACAGGGTCTTTTTTTTTTAATTTTATGTATATGAGTGTATAGCCTGCATGTATATGAGTGCACCCATGTCTTGCTGTGCCTCGGAGGTCAGAAGAGGGTGTCGGAGTCCCCTGGAACTAGAAGTAAGGATGGCTGTTAGCTGCCATGTAGGTGCTGGGAATTGGACCCAGGTCCTCTGCAAGAGCAGTCAGTGCTCTTAACCACTGAGCCATATCTCCAGCCCCTTGAGACAGGGTCTTGTGTAGACCAGGCTAACCTCTAACTTGATATGTAGCAGAGATTGACCTTGAACTCTTGATCCCCCTGCCTCTACCTCCTAAATACTGAGATTAAAGACATGAGCCACCGTGCTATGCTAAAATTTAATTCTTTATGTAAAAAGAAACAAGCACATCCACCTCATTAGTATGAAAATTTTCTTCCATTTTTAGTAAGTGATAAAATGGTATGTAGATCAAAGAATTATTTTTAAAATTTCTTTACGACACTATGAGTAAAATATTTTATTTGTATGCCTATTTTATATGCCTATACGCCCTGCATTATATAAAATTATCTTAGGCAAGACAGGATGAATGGATGAAATGGAGTCTTGAGTGGAAAAAGTTTAAGAATCCTGCTGAGATGTCCCTCAACACCTAGCACAAAGTGGGGGCCAGAAAACATTGAAGAGGGTCCTGAATCCTACAAAGCAAAGCCCCTTTTGAGCAAGCTGGGCTTGTGGAGACTGAACTTTATATGAGATGAAAGAATGTGCTTAGACATAACAGAATTGTGATATTTTTCAATGTGTAAAAACATCTTTATCTCTAAGAGAAACAGAGTGAAGAGTACAACATGAGGTCTGGGATTCGCTTCAAATGATTCTGGACAAAAGTAGCATGAATAAACATTCAGTGAAGGAGCACAGAACAAGTAAACCTTATTTGTTTGTCTGTTCTTATTGACAGCTACAGGGTCTGCAAGGATGCTGGCTGTCCCGGAGATGGGCCTGCAAGGGCTGTATATCAGTAAGACCTCTGCACTACCTACCTGTCAACTACCCCACTTGACTGGGCATGGAGACCACTGTCCTACTGCCCACATGTGCCTCTCCCAGCAGGAGTTCTTGAGAGCCATTCTATAAATGTGTGCTTGTATGTACACAGGACTGCAGGTCTCTGTGTGTGCGTGTGTGTGTGTGTGTGTGTGTATACACATGCAGAAATGGTCTGTATACACAAAGCATATCTGTTCAAAGTCCTCTGTGTATGTGTGTGTACATGCTTGCATATGGGGAGGGTCTTTGTGCACAGGATTAGGCATGTGCTCTGTGCAAATGTGTGTGTGAGAGACCCTGTGTAAGTATGCATATGGATTCCTGTGCACAGGACCTATGCTGGGTGAGTGGTCTGCAGGTGGGCATTTGTGCACTGAACTCTGGACGTCTAGCCTCATCTGAGTATAGGCTCTGGACTCTGTAGGGGTGGGAGGCCAGCAGGCAGGAGGGACACTCCTCAGGAAGTCCATTCACAAAGACCTAGTGGGCTGGGCCCTTCCTTCCTGCCTCCCTTCCCAGACTCAAGCCACAGCAACTGGGCTTCTCACACTGGAGCTGGTGGCAGGGCCCAGCCTGTGCAGGCTGTTCAAGGAAGGGAAGCCTGGAATGTAGTTACCCTGTTCCTGTTCCTTTGGTACCCAGACTGCAGCTTTACTCAAGCACTTCCTAAAATCCCCTTCATTTCCAGCCCCTCACGTACATTCCTGGGTTATCACAGAGCCAGCAAGAGCTGGGCCCTGTTAAGGGTCACTCAGTCTGGCTACGGCTGAGGGAGCAGACTGCCCAGTGTGCAGCTAGACAGACCCGCTGATTTGTCCATGGATTTTCATGCTAGATACCACTCTAATTTTCTGGCCAGCCTCCCTGGCCCCATCCATTGGTCTCAGTGCTACCCCGCCAATGACCCTTAGCAAACCTCAGTGTGATAGTGGCTATTGACTTTGGTATCACTTTTGGGTGTCCAGCTAGGATGTACCTCCCATCCCATGAGTATCTGATCCTTCAAGCCAAGAAGAAGCCACCTTCTGGGGGCTGCTCTGCTTCCTCCCCTAAAGTTCAGCCCAGCCCTGGTTCTTCAGAAAAGTCTCAGTGGGCCTTCTGCCCCTCAAATGCTAGCCGGGGTATGTATGTATGTATAACACATGTTGGAGCAGGTGATCAGAATTCCTGGTGCTGTGGACATCCCAGGCTTAAAGCTGGGCTGGAGTTAGGTGTTGCCTTTCCCTTCCAAGCAGCCAACTGGACCTGTCTATAGTCTTTGTGTGGGGTGGGCTCCCTTAATTCCTGATTAGAACCATGTGGCCCAACTTGAAAGCAGAGAGAGGCAGCCTACCTCTGGGCCAGGTGCCACACCTACCTCTGGGTCACGTGCCACATCTCCTAGCCACTTGCATCTGCAGTCTCCTCAGCCCCACTTCAGGAGCTCATCTGCCCATTGCTCCTGCCATTCCATCTTTAGACTCCTGTCTCTCCACTACACAATGCGTCTCTGCTTCCTGTGTCCCCTACTGTGTGTGTAAAGGGGCCTGGGGAGTCAGTACTGAGGTGATACACGTAGGTCACCCTCCAGGGAAAAGGTTTCTTCTGACTAATCCAGGCAGGCCTGACCCTGCCTTATGCATGTCCTTCTTACCTCCTCCAGTCTCCCTTCTCCAGCAAATGGTCCTTTGCTTCAGCAAAACTCAGTGAAAACAGATAGAGAACCTACTGTACCAGGCTTGGGCTCCTGCTACCCTGATTATGCCATGGAACCTGCCCTCTTTTCTCTGTAGGCTCTAGCCCAGAGAGGTCCCCAGTGCCCAGCCCACCCGGCACACCAAGAACCCAGGAGAGCTGTGGTATTGCCCCCCTCACACCTTCACAGTCTCCCGTAAGCCCTGATCAATGATTTGGGTGGTAGGTGGCCTGGGTGGTATGGAGGAGGGTGGTACCTGACAGAACAGTGGCAGGGGCTGGGCTGGAGGAAGTTTTCAGGGGCATGCTACCAGGTCTCCTACCTATGTACATGATAGTCACATGCCCCTGTGGCTGTGGACTGTAAGGGTGACAATTCTGAGAAACCAAGTTCCAGGTAACTCACTCCCCCATCTCTGTGGCAGGATGTCTCCCAGGAACCACTATGGCGGACCTGCTTCAGCAGCCATGTGATTTTTCTAAGTCCTCAGAGTACTGGGGACTTCCAGAGTAGCTACTGCTCCTGCTATCCACAGCACCACTGTAACCTAAGTCAATATCTGGGAGAAATATATTAACAGATACTTATATCTTCTAGAAATACAGGAAACAAGTTTCCAGTGCATAGTCTCCCCTTCCCAGTCTTCCTAACAGGACTGTATGAATCTTGTTGTAGTCATCCAACTTGAGGGTCCCTCTTGTTCTTAGGGAGCCCAGGCCTAGCCTGGGAAAGGAGGGACACTGCACATACACAGGGCCTCTACTCTTACACAAAATCAGTATCTGGTTTGTGTCACAAAAAGCAAGAGGTAAAATACACACAGGTCCATGTGTTAGAAAGCAGCCCAGAAAAGCAAAATTACTCCCAGCTGGACCACAGGCCAGTGGCAGGCTATGAAAATGGTGTGAGAGGGGAGTGGGCTGAGACAGTCTGGGCAGAAGATAGGCAAACTGGAAGCTTGAAAGGAGGCATTTCAGCCCCAAAATTCCAGGGCTACAGAGAAATTGGCATGTTCAGGTCTCAGCCTAGACTTTGGGAGGGGAGGGGAAGCCATGAAGGTAGATCAGTGAGGTGGGACAAAGCTTCTCTGGGTCACACCCAGTGAAGGGGAGGGATTCCTGTTAGCTGCTTGCTGACCCTAGGTCTTGGACTTGCAGAAGCCAGAGGCCCGAGCCCCTCAACAGGCCTCCTTCTCTGTGGTAGTGGCCATTGACTTCGGCACCACATCCAGTGGCTATGCCTTCAGCTTTGCTAGTGACCCTGAGGCCATCCACATGATGAGGTGAGGAAGGGCAGCTGGGCTGGGAGGGGGGTCCTCAAACCCTGGTATGGGCCTAGTCTTAGAAAGAAATAGTCATTAAGACATGGGGTCTTCTCAAAGCCCCTTCCATTCCTACCTAAGCTGGAGAATGGATCTCAGGTCTGGGCTCCCAACCTCATCGGAGGATTCCTACCCTCTGCAAGAATGTTGGGTTTTATTAGTTTTTTGTTATTTGCAGTGCTGGGCATCAAACCCAGGGCCTAAAGCATGCTACATGGGTGCTCTTGGGCTTTATCTATTTTTTGCTTTTAATTTTTTTTTTTTTTGAAGCAGGGTCTCCCTGTAGTCCCAGCTGTCCTGGAACTCACTATGTAGAGCAGGCTGGCCTTGAACTCAGAGAGAGCCACCTGCCTCTGCCTCCCAAGTGCTTTTAATTTTTTTAAAAAATTTGTGTGTAGACACGCGTGGTAACGCACCCCTTTAATCCCAGCACTCGGGAGGCTAAGGCCAGGCTGGTCTATATAGTGAGTTCCAGGCCCTGTCTCCAAAAAAAAAAAAAATTGTGTATAATGTGTAGTATATGTGGAAGGCCAAAGGCTGGCAGGTGTCTTCCTCTGTCACTCTCTCTTTTTTTTTTTTTTTTTTTTTTTTTTTTTTTTTTTGATAGGGCCACTCACTGAACCCAGAGCTCACTGATTTGCTAGACTGGGTGGCCATCAAACTCCATAGTCTGCCTCCCCCATCCCCCTAGTGATGGAGTTATAAATACCACCATGCCCAGCCTAGGCTTAAAAATAAAACAGAAAGGAAAGGAGGGAGGGAGGGATGGTGAAAGAAAGTCATGAAAGACCTTGAATGAATGTGATCTTGGAAAACAACCTTGAGAAGTGCAAAGTGGCTGGCTCAGAGATTGCTTCTGTTAGAGCTCCAGAGAGACATCAGGACGCCACTGGATGATGATTTGCTGCTGCTTAAAATACAGAGGAGAGGTCAAGTGGGGCACTATCTGTAGGAACAGGAGCCTTTCACAGGGCCCCTTGGATAGGAGGATCCCATGGGAGCATTTATGAAGATACAGGTGGTGCCACTTGATCCTCACAAAACCCCTAAGAGGGGTTTACTATTATAGTCCCTTTTTTTGAGGGGGGACAGTGTTTGGTTGTTTGAGATACAGCCTTACTCTGTACCTAGGCTGGCCTAGAACTTGTTTGGTAGTCCACGCTGGCCTTGAACTCATGTCAGCCATCCCTCCTCAGCCTCCTGAGTGCTGGGATTACAGGTTGAGTTACTACTTCCAGCTCTATTCTCATTCTATAGATGGAAAGCCTGGAGCTCAGGGAACTTGTATCCTGCTCAAGGCCACACAGCTGCCCTCAGAGCCAGCACCCAATGGTAGGAAGGTTGCCCCTGACCCTACTGACTGCCTTTGTCTTCACAGGAAATGGGAGGGAGGGGACCCAGGCGTGGCCAACCAGAAGACCCCTACGTGTCTGCTGCTGACCCCAGAGGGTGCCTTTCACAGTTTTGGCTACACCGCTCGTGACTACTACCATGACCTAGACCCCGAGGAGGCACGGGAGTGGCTGTACTTTGAAAAGTTCAAGATGAAGATCCACAGTGCCACTGTGAGTCACTGTGACCAGGCTCCAGGCAGAGTGGCAGAGCTGGGATGGGAATGGGCAGGGTTAGTGAAGGGTAAGGCACAACTAAAAGACCAGAGGAATGGTCAGATAGAAGGACCAAGTCAGGCATGGTGATGCACACTTTTAATCTCAGCACTTGGGAGGCAGAGGCAGTCAGATCTCCGTGAAATCAAAGCCAGCCTGGTCTACATAGCAAGTTCCAGGTCAACTGAGGTTACAGGGAGACCCTGTCTCAAAAAGACCAAAAAAAAAAAAAAGAGGGGCCAAAGACCAAAGGGGTGGGATAATGAGGGGGACCGGAAGGTGGGCAAAGCTACTACCATTGGGCTTGATGTGAAGATGAGTTAGGGGAACAAGTGGTGAGACCTAGAAGATGGTCGGGGCTAGGGCAGAGCTAATATGAGACTGGCAAAAGAGGGAAAGTAACAGGAAATGGGATGATTGTAACAAAGAAGCGATCAGGAAATGGAACAGAGCTATGGCCTCCTGTGAAGCAGCTGTGTCTCTGCCAGGATCTCACCTTGAAGACCCAGCTAGAGGCGGTAAATGGAAAGAAGATGTTGGCCCTGGAAGTGTTTGCTCATGCCCTCCGCTTCTTCAAGGAGCATGCCCTTCAGGTGTGCTGCTACCCCATCCCCACTGACTAGGGCAGGGATGCCCAGGCCCTTCTATTCCCTTCTCTCCCCTCATCCCACCCCCTGTCCAACAGATGTGTGGTCACTGCCAGGCCACAGGTCATCTCCAGTTTCCTGTCCTCTGTCTGGTAGAACCTGCACTGGTCCAGCCAGGTGAAGGACAGACTTCTCCAACTCAGCTGGGAAGCCCTTACTTCCAGCTCCCAGAGAAGGCTGAAGATACTCCAAGCCAGCTTTACCCTCATTGTCCTCTCCTGCAGGAGCTGAGAGAGCAGAGCCCAATGACGCTTGAGAAAGACACTGTACGCTGGGTGTTGACAGTCCCTGCTATCTGGAAACAGCCAGCTAAGCAGTTCATGCGAGAGGCTGCCTACTTGGTGAGGATGTGCAAGTGGAGCTGAGTATCACTCTACTTGAGATGGCTCAGGGTTAGGGTCCCCCCTGCAACCTTAAGGACCACAAAATCATTGCACAGAGACCTCTAGCCTTCTCCAACTGGGGATTCTGGAGGGTTGTTGTCCCCAGGAGAGGGGATGGGTCTGCAAGGACAGGGGCAGATAGACAAGAGGCACAGGTCATTGTAGATGGTGTTTTGTCAAGTTCTTGAGAAGAGACCAAGATAGGGAGACTTGTATATGTGGTCTGTTGAAGATGAAGTCTCAGGAGGAAGGATGGAGGAATCAGGACAGGCAAGTGCTGAGCAATGATGTGGTCTTGCTGGGGTCTAGCTTCATCCCTGTTCTGCAGGGAGTTCCAGAGTCAGGATCATGGCACTGAGTTGACCACAGGAAGGCAAAGGTCCATATCTGTCTGCCATATCTTGGTAGAGTGGGAGGGGTACCTGTCCAAGTGAGTGGTTCCCACTCAGCTGGGGCAGTTGTCTGGAGCAGTAATAGCTGTGTACAAACAGCAACCAGTGCTCTCACTAGTGGGCAGAACCTAGAGCACCCACTCCGACCCCCATCACTACATACTGTCACATGCTCCCACTCCTGCCCCAGCCATTGTAGGTTCTTCACAAGAGAAAAAGGACCGTTTACCTAGGAAGGGAGATGATTCTAGAGATGTGCTTGTCTTCCTACCACAGAGATGCCCAAAGGTCCACAGAAAATGGTTCAGATATTACCCCCTTCAGTAGGGAAGGAGAGGCCTCACAGAGCTAAACTGGTTGCTTGGCTCTGCCCCTAGGGCCTAGGACACCCAGATGACAGCACTTTGGGTGCCTATGCTTATCCCTGGAAAGGGCTGAACTTAAACACAGTGAGCTTCCTGCAGGGATCAGATGTCCCCAGCCAGAAAAAAACATTCTTACCTATTTGCCTGCCCAGCTTCCTCCCACAGTTCCCTGCTGCCAGCTCAGGAAGGGCTGGCCCTGGCCAGGAAGCCTCCATTCCTACCTGTCTCCCCCTCCCTGGCCTGGGCAGAATCCAGGGAATCTAAACTACTTCCCAAAGACATCCCTTGCCCTGGAGCAGAAAACAGCTGATCTCAAGTGTTTCTCCCCCCACTGGTCTATCCCAGTGCCCAGAATTTCACTGTTTCCTTCCTGGTGTAGCAGATTCTCTGGGAACAAAGTTCTCCTGGGAGTGACACAACCTATAGCCATTATCTGACACCATTCCTTCCGACCCACTGCATCAGCCTCCTCTGTCCACAGCTAGCACTTGGTTGACTGACTCTGTACCCAGGGATGGGAACACTGACTCCTTGGCCATGGTCATGGCCCTCCTTAGCCTGATCTCAAGGTGGCTATGAGGCAGCTCCAACTGTATGTAGCATGAAGGAGCTTGACAGGTCTAACATAGGAGGAGTGCGCTGAGGGAACAAATAGGAGCACCCAGGCCCCAGAGTGCCAATCTTATGTGACAGTCTATGGTGCTGCCCATCACCTATCCCCAGGCTGGCCTGGTGTCTCGAGAAGATGCAGAAAAACTGCTCATCGCTTTGGAGCCTGAGGCTGCCTCTGTCTACTGCCGAAAGCTGCGCCTGCACCAGCTCATGGACCTGAGTTGCCGGACCCCTGGTGGTGGGCGCCTAGGTGAGCGCCGCTCCATTGACTCCAGCTTTCGGCATGGTAAGCTGCACCAGGGCTGCTGCCTAGTGCTGGGCTAGATGGCAGTTGCCCTTGGAACTGGAGACTGGAGGCATCGCTGTGTCCAGGATGAAGGAGAGGGGTTTACCATCCTGGAGCCCAATTGGAGAGTCAGGAACATCACTGATTGAGTTCATTCTGAGAGGGACACAGCCCACTTTGGGGGCAGGTACTCAGTGGGCATTAACAAGGGAACAAGTCTGACCTAGCATCCTCTTCAGAAGCTTTCCCTTAAACAGCCACTGCATCAACTGTTACATCAGCCCTACCTCAGCAGGCCAAAGCACTTCTGTCATATCAAGACATGGTCAACACTGGTCAGCTTAAGATCATTCTTCCAAATGTCATCTCTCAGGACAGCAGGAGGCCCCAAGACCTAAGCTTCCCTGGGACATTGAGAGGTGCCTCCTGTGCAGATCCTCCAAAGCCTCCTCAGCCTGATTGTACTGATTGTGCTTTAGTCTGATTCCTCCCGGGTCAAGGGAAAGTCCTGTGTCCAGAAACACCTCCCCTAGCTGCCTACAGTGTCTGGGGTTTGGGATCAGCATTGCTCCATGGGGTGGGCAGCAGTTTCAGGAACACTTGCTCTGGAAAGCCTTGGGAGGGACAGGATTGAATGGAAACTACTATCAAAGAAGAAAATTTCTGTGGTAGCTCCTTCTAACCTCACTTTCCTGCTGTGCCCCAACCCCAGCCCGGGAGCAGCTGAGAAGGTCTCGTCACAGCCGCACATTCCTGGTGGAGTCCGGTGTGGGAGAACTGTGGGCAGAAATGCAAGAAGGTGGAGAGCCATTTCTTGAATCCCACAGGAAACTGATGGGGGAAGGACATATTCATTAAGCTCAGCTCCTTCAGTCCACTGTACCTAACCCGGTGGTCCCCTCAGTCACCTCTACCCCATCCCACTCCCATATTCCTTCAAGAGATCCTCCCCTCATGTATAAAAAGGGTTGCAGTGCCTGGAACTATCTCTCCCACGCTCTGCACCCGTTTGATGGCCTGAAGTTAATGGCACCAGAAGTCCTTCGAGTACCCCCCAGCCCCACCACCACAGGGCTCGGTGACCTGGAAAGGGTGGGAGATGGTGGGGGCTGAAGGAGAGAGGCAGGTCCCGAGTGTTTACCTGTGCTGGCCCGTGCAGGAGACCGCTACGTGGTGGCAGACTGCGGGGGAGGCACTGTGGATCTGACGGTACACCAGCTGGAACAGCCCCATGGCACCCTCAAGGAGCTCTACAAGGCCTCGGGTGAGTACAGACCTTGCTACCCAGCGCGCAGGAGGTTCTCCGCCGCCCCCTGGCGGCCTATTGGACAATGACCCCCCCCCTCTGCGTCCCTTTGCCCGGCTGCAGGCGGCCCTTACGGCGCGGTGGGCGTGGACTTGGCCTTTGAGCAACTGCTTTGCCGCATATTCGGGGAGGACTTCATCGCCAAATTCAAAAGGCAACGACCAGCAGCCTGGGTGGATCTGACCATTGCCTTCGAGGCCCGCAAACGCACGGCAGGCCCGCACCGTGCAGGGGCGCTCAACATCTCGCTTCCGTTCTCTTTCATTGACTTCTACCGCAAACAGCGAGGTCACAATGTGGAGACGGCCTTACGCAGGAGCAGGTGTGCCCAGGGTCAGGACTCAGGCAGGGTTTGCTAATGCGGACTGCCTCTGCAAGGGAGGGTCGAGAGCCCCAGGGGGCAGAAAGTTGCCTGAACAGTTCCACACACCTACACCAATGCCAGTGTGGTGCAGGCCCACCGCGGTCAGGGATCCGCAGCCCAAACTGTATTTTCTCCCTGCCCACCCTGCTAGTCAAACACCAAAGCAAGAGCTCTTCTGAGATCCCACACGAGGCAGAGCAGACTGCAGAATGGGATTGAGGATAAGGGCAGGTGTTCGTTTACAGAAATGTGAACAGGCACAGCTGCTTTCTCCCTGTCGGGCATCCCAAACCAAACGCATGGGTAGGGGATGAGGCCCACAGACTAGAAACTGCAGCAAGTAGATGGGCTCTGACCTATTTATTGACTATGCCCCTTCACCACCTAGTGTGAACTTCGTGAAGTGGTCCTCACAGGGGATGCTCCGGATGTCCTGTGAGGCCATGAACGAGCTGTTTCAGCCCACAGTCAGTGGGATCATCCAGCACATAGGTGAGTGCCTAGATGCTCCATTCATCATCAGATTCAGATTAACATATGGCATGTAGATTAAAAGGAGACCGTTTATACTCCTGCCAAGCTAAAGAAACCCTGGTGCCTCCATTTCCCTATTTTGCAAGTGGGGTGATAGTACTTGGCTCTACCAAATACTATCACGGAGACTAAATGAGCTGATTAGTGTCTCGAGTAGGCACACTGTCATGCATAGTGTAAATATATGTCCTGATTTCCTCATCGTTCACAGGGTGGTGGTAGAGAAGGGGTAGGGTGTTGGGGGCCAGCGGGTCCAGTAAGAATTGTCAGGAATCTTCAGTGTAAGAATTCATTATTTTCTATTAAATGCCCTGAGAGGCATTTAGTTTAGTTGCCCTGAGAGGAGGGGGGAGGGTTGAAGTGCCAGTGAAATGATGGCCCCAGTGGCTTCCCCACACACTTCCCCTTCTTCCTCTTCTCTCCCCTTCCCCAACCCTCTCCCTGTTCTGTTCTGCATTGCAGAGACGCTGCTGGCAAGGCCTGAAGTTCAGGGCGTAAAGCTGCTGTTCCTAGTGGGCGGATTTGCGGAGTCAGCCGTGCTGCAGCAGGCAGTGCAGGAAGCACTGGGCACGCGCGGCCTGCGGGTCATCGTCCCGCATGATGTGGGCCTCACCATCCTCAAGGGAGCAGTGCTCTTTGGCCAGGCACCAGGTGTGGTGCGGGTGCGCCGCTCGCCACTCACTTATGGTGTGGGCGTGCTTAACCGTTTTGTGGCTGGTCACCACCCGCCAGAGAAACTGCTGGTTCGTGATGGGCGCCGCTGGTGCACAGATGTCTTCGAGCGTTTTGTGGTCGCCGAACAGTCAGTGGCCCTTGGAGAAGAGGTGCGGCGCAGCTACTGTCCTGCACGTCCGGGTCAGCGGCGCGTGCTCATCAATCTGTACTGCTGTGCCGCCGAAGATGCACGCTTCATCACCGACCCTGGCGTGCGGAAGTGTGGAGCCCTCAGTCTGGAGCTTGAACCCACCGAAGACTGCCCTGAAGGATGCCCTGGCAGCACTGGCACGTCCCCCGGTCGCCGTGAGATTCGTGCTGCCATGCAGTTTGGGGATACCGAGATAAAGGTCACTGCTGTGGATGTCAGCACCAATCGCTCTGTGCGGGCCGCCATCGACTTTCTTTCCAACTGAGGGCACACCTTGGGTCCCCATCTGGGACAGAGGAACGTGCTAGTTCCAGGGCAGTACCCCATTTTTCCCTACCTTGGAAGAAATGGGGTGAGGACATATGGGAAGACTGCCATTGGGATGGGGCCTTGGTCTGCCGATCACAATGCTGAAAGCCTCTCCCCCCACCCCCAGCCAAGAACACCAAGAGGCAAGGTGGTGAGAGACTTAAGAAGTTTGCTGGAAGGTGAGCTCAGCTTTGCAGGTGTGTGACCACAAAAACAGAATGCAACAGAGGACTAAACACTAGCTGGAAATGAAGGGTTGAAGAGAGAGGCCACACAAAGCAGGCTAAGGAGGAGCCACAGGAGGCAGGGCCTGAGTCTGAAGGTTCAGAGTTCTGACTGTTGAGCTCCAGCCATAGGAAGCAGGTAGAGCAACTTAGTGCAACGGGGAAATGATATGCAAATACTAAAGGGACAGGTGTAATAGCACCTTCCTGGATGTGTGACTGTTAAATTGTAGAAAGGGCAGTGGTTGGCAGCTGAGGAGGGCATGTTGTTACAGTGAAGGCAATTTGGACATGTGGCCATAGCATGCTCAGGGGACTCAAGGGAAGCCTATGAATAAGCCATCTGTCCACAGCCCAGCCATGGTCGGATAGCTGGAGAGCATTAAGGAGGACAGGGCTCACAGGAGGAGGGTCCAAGCTCTGCCACTGATGTGGTGTGCCATTAGGAAATCAATCAACCTGGGCCTCAGTTTCTCCAAGTGTGAAATGTTGGGCATCTCCTGCCAATTATGGCATTACCTGCCTGAGAACTCACCTAAAGGTGCAAATAAAGCATTTATGTTTAAGGAAAGCAACAGCCTTCTAATACCATCAGAGTAGGGGACCCCCCCCCC